CCAATGGCAAGCATGAGCTGCCATGCGGACACGACAGGGCCACGAAGAGAGACGGGCGCAATTTCGCTCAGGTAGGCTGCGATACGCGAGTGAAAGTGATCGCGATGTTTGAGATTGACATCAACACTGGACGGCATTGATAAGGCGCGTCTACTCACGACTAGTCGTTGCAGAAATGACACCGACTCCTGCGCCGAGAACGAGCCGTCCGACGGTCATGAGGGGAATGCTGCCGGTGTGGACCATCTGCAGCACAGTGCCCAACGCAACGAGACTACCAGCACTGATGAAACCACCTTTGCGTCCGGCAAAGTCGCCGATGGGTGCGCTTGCGAGCGCTCCGCAGAATTCGCCCGCCTGGACGATGGAGGCTAGAAGAGATCGTTGGGAGGACGTAATGTCGATGGTTCCCATGTCGTCGATGACTGTACCAAAATCCTCTTTGAACTTCTTCATCTCGAGAATGGCGCTGAAGTACGTTCTGCAATGGTTGGATAAGTCGACACAGGAGTTCAGCGGAACGGCCATGAGCATGGGCGTGCACCATTCCTACTCACCCATCGTAGCCGTAGAGGACCGCACCTACTACAGCAATGCTGCAAAAGATCAGCGGTCGTAAGTTCGCTTTGCTGAACTTGCGCTGGTCGCCCACGACGGGCCCAGTGGAAGGCGCGAGCTCTCCAGTCATGGTGTAGTTGGACGGACCGAGTAAAGGATGAGTGTCGGCTGATTCAGTGCGGTCACTCGAGATCGAAGAAGTGGAGCGGCGGGCTCTGGACGTTGACGCGGAAGGGGGAGGGTAAGAGCAGGAAGCGGCTTGATGGTGGGTCATGCCTGGGGATTTTGGTCCATCCGGGTGCGTTCTTTATATGCCACGAAGAGGGGACTTGCTGCTCTCAAAGCCGTACCATGCACGCTCATGGTCCATGTCCGTATACGACCGTGTATATGCTGCAGATGCAGGGCAAACCCCAGATGCCCTCGCTAGTCTCGTCCCTGACTTTTCGCAGCAGCAGCAGACCAGCCCACTTCCTCCACAAATTGCGACGGTAGAGGCAGACAAAAGCGACCAGTCGTGAGTGTTCCTGGAGCCAAGACCTGCCGCAGGGCG